ATCATTGCGGTAACTTGGAAGTCAATTCATGGATTGTGAAAACAGTATTTTCTTTCTTCGGCAAAGTCATTACACGTACGTCGCCTCTCTGTTCATTGCTTTTTCTCCCAATCTCTCTTTCGAAGACGACATCATGATTGATTTCCTCTTGAATTATAAACTCACTGGAGATATGCAAGCAACAAGCTACCCCGCCTTGTTTGCGTAGAATTAATGGAGAAATATATTACATAATAACTTCGTCAATTTAACCAAGCATCTGAAAATTTTAAAAAGTAATTAACCAAGTATATATATTGTGTCTTATTAACCAACCTATTTCATCAATTTAAAATGGTATCTCCCTTAAAAAAATCATTTAATAAAATGGTATCCACGAACCCAATCCATCTAAACGAACTTATGTACGTAGTAGCACATCCTCCTCCTCAACCACTGCCGTTGATCCCTACTTTTTATATGTAGAAGTCAAAATTAGGAGCTCAATTTCTGCTTACATACGTACGTAGAAATTGATTAGCTATTAACTATAAAGTGCACCCATCTGACCTCCATTAGAAATTGATAGTTGGTAAGACTTTACCCCTCTCGTCATTTTAAATTCTCTGAGCATAAATGTTTAGTCTCTCGTTTATATTTTGGCACCATCAGTACTAGGGACAGGATACGGTGACAACCCCTGGTTGTCAGATTCACAACCAAGGATATTTTGGGTATGAAAAAAATGAATATATTAATTACCTTTTTTGTATTAATTATATTGGGAATTTAATACCCATATTAAATACAATTTTTTTCTGAAATTTAAATATTATACATTAATATCTCTATCTATCTATCTCTCTCTCTCTTTTCCTTTCTCCAGCAGCCACTCCGCATCGACTGACAAACTTTTTCTCCGGCGAATTCTCTCCGGCAGACTCCCTCCGGCAACCTGAAAAAATGTACCAATGCGTTAAAAAGTGTACCAATCTATTAGTCTACTGGTAATTAATATACCAGTGCTAGTGGTACGCTACCAGTACGTTAAAAAATGTACCAGTACTAGCGGTACCAGTAAAAAATGTACCAATACTAGTGGTACGCTACCAGTACAACGCTACCAGTAGAGAATAACACAACGCTACTAGCACTGGTAGCGCTACCACTAGCATTGGTAGCGGTACCAGTAGAGAATAACACAAAAAAATAGATAATAGTGGTATTAGATGATAGTGGTACCAGATGATAGTGGTACCAGTGAGTAGTGGTAGGGGAGCCACTGGTACGTACCAGTGAGTAGTGGTATCGTACCAATAGGAATTGGTACCACTAGCATTGGCGGTCTTCTCATCGAGATTCTTCGCACCCCCGGCGGTGGCCTTGGCGTCGAGGAGGTCGTTGAAGCCGACGCCGGAGGCAGAGAGCTTGGTGTAGAGACGATCTGGACGTCGATCTGGACGTTGCTGATGAGAACGCGGACGAAGCCGATCTGGACGTCGCGGAGCCAGGCGGCGGCGTAGATCTCGATCATGATGGCGGGGACAGCAGGCTGTGAACGGTGGGCACGGGAGAGGAAGAGGGAGGGGAGGACAGCGGCGCGGGGAGGACAGCGGCGGGGCGGGGCGCGAGGGGAGGACAGCGGCGCGGCGGCAGGGGAGGCAGAGGCGGCGACGGTGGTGGAGCTCTTGACGGCTAGGGTTTTTTTGTTAGAGATATGTGAGAGGGGAAGAGGAGGGAGACGCAGGAGAATGGGGGAGGGTCTGTTTTTTTTTTTTTGTAATAAAAAGTATTTATATGGAAAATGGAAAGGATCTCATGTGGTAAGTTTTCCATTCCGAATTTGCCCTTGGTTTAATCTTAACCATTAATTTAAAAAAAGAAGAAAAATACAGGAGAGAGAACGTATCCGATGGCCACAAAGGTGGTTGTGAATCTGACAACCCCCAAGGGGGTTGTCACCGTATCCTGTCCCTCAGTACTACTAACAATCTCAGAGTTGGAAACGTACGTATGGAGCGAAATCATTCTATCATTCATTTACCACATCAACTCCTTAATTAGTAAGGAAGGAAATCTAGTTAGGTTATGGATAGAATTGGTTGGAAATTTTATTTTTATCTTCCACCTTATATGTAAAAGAACAATATACCGTCGTTGTGAACAACGACTTAATCTAGTAGTAATACTGCTAGTCTTGAATTCTCTAAACAGTAAACAGTAGCAGATCCTAATAATTAACATTATCATTCGTGCATGGCAATTAGGGGTGGCTATTTGGACCGGGACCGGATTAAAAATCGGAAACCGGACCGTATAACCCGGACCGAGACCGGACCGGGACCGGATAGTAAACAATCCAATCCAATCTTTGGGCTTAGTTTTGAGGTAAAAAACCGGATAAAGACCGGATAAGAGAGCTCAACACCCAAAACTTAAGGGTAATTTGCATAAACGGTCACAAACCTTTGCACTTAGTAAAAAACTTAACCAACTCCTCACCCTTTAAGGCCTTAGGCCACTCAAATCCCACAATCTCAATGTAAAATCAAGACCGAATTGGGACAGGACCGGATCAAAACCGGATCGGATCAAGACCGGACTGTATCCAATCCAATCTTCGGTCCTTATATTTTCAAAAAGACCGGACTGGACCGGATCAATTTGAACCAATTTAACCGGACCGGACCGTATAGCCACCCTAATGGCAATGGTTGACTAAATCCCGGGAGATCAGGTGTATACGACCCCGCTTGCTCTGTAGATGAGCAGAACCGCTGAACATATTTCATTTCCTTCTAGAAGCACCGACAGTAAATCAACTAGAGACCGAAGATTAAGGTAGGGAAATGGAAGTAACTATGGAAATCATGTATGCATCCAAAATTTACAAGTCAAACCGCGTCGGTGATGGAATTAATGGAGGAGTTTTATTTTGTGTCAATGGAGAAATCCTACATAGTCTCTCAAATGTGCACAGTAGTGGATCAAGGAATTTGACTATACAGGGTAGCTAGTGAATAGAGGTGGAAAATGGATGGATGAATTGGTGTATTGGATCTAAACATTGGATAATTATGTGAATTTTGAAGAGTATAAGACTAAAATGTTATTATGAAAAAATCTAGATAAAAAACGTAAATTTGTAATGATTTTTTTTGGTTCATATATTAAAAAATATAGGTACTTAATTGTAGTTTTTTTCAAATACCAATGAATCCACTAATCCAATTAAATGAATTTGATTAGTTAAATTTGTTAGTGGATAGATTATAGTAGATTGGATTCAAATATGCTAATGAACATGTTGGTTGTGATTAATCATTATCGTGCTTACATGTTTTCAGTCTTTCAATGGAGAATCAAACGATGACATACAATGTGCACCCGGAAAAGTTCGAGCAGTTGTGCTGCATTCACACCCTGAACGCAACATGATCAAAATATATTTGGTTGGTTAAATGAGGATGTACAAAAATATGCTTACTCCTGGCACTAATATCAAACTATACCAATAATACTAGGAAGGATGTTAATTTCAGTACTACACCATGCCAAGTGAAGCTAGGCAGGAAGAAGAACACTGATCCCGTTGATTAAGGAACAAAAAGGATAATGGTAATTAATTTAACCAGGAGGTGGACCCCACATGGCAGAGCTCCATCATTACCTGAATATATCTCCCTTCGACTGTCTCCTCTCATCGGGGTTCGTTTGGAAGTTGCGATTGTTAAATAGATGTATTTTTGAGAATGCATGTACAATATTATATATGTATTATTGAATTTGATGCATTGTAGAATACAACGTTTGGTATGTGTGATTGTGTATGTCGCATCAGCTAAAAGCTAAGACAAAACAATCTCAACTCAACTATCTCAACTATCACAACTAAAAGTTGAGATATAACAATCACTCAAAATGAGTGATAATTTCTGTCACATCACAGAAACAATCCATGTATTGTTTCGGCTAAAAAATAAAAAAATGATACATTGTAAACAATACATATAATGACAATCTCAACAAAACAATCTCAACTTCCAAACGACTCATTGAGTCGTGAACTTAGGAGCTGTCGAAAAGTACTTGTTAATGGGGCCTCCCGGTTTCAAGGGGGGAGGCTTAAAATTAAAGGCAACATTTTTATATGTGGTGCGGTACAACGTTTGAGGTAGCGGTGGTTGTGGTGATTTCCATTTGCCTTGCCCCCTGCTTTCTGGACGGCAAAATTTGCCGGTTTGTGCATGCTTACCGTGGGCTTTGTCTTCCCGTAAGCAAATTGTTGGAGAAATATAGAATCATCATTTGGGTTTGGGGGCCATTGTTCTCGATTCTATGCTATCAATAAAGGTGAAGCAGCGGTTAGTATGGCTTTGATGTTCGCCACTTTTGCCATTCTTGGTGCTGCTTTTGCCGCCACCATATGAATAATTAAGTTGATGTGTGTGTGATTGGAAATATAATATCTTCTTTCACCAAAGAAAAAAACCGGAGAGTATATTCTAGAGTTCTAGTCATGTAGTTTATAGGTGGCAATGATCTTCTCAATTCAAATTTGCAATTGGGATAGTACGTACCCTAACATATAAGGAGCAATTTTTATGAATAATTTAGCTGGTTAAAAAAATGTATTCAATTCGGTTCGACAACATATTTATCATCAGGTTAGTCGAAACTCTAGTTGTAGATAAATGCAATTTGTATTAAAATCGATTATTATGGTACTTACTATAAGGTTATTAGATGCGTGATCAGATTTTACAGATCAACCCTGCTAACCAAACATCTGTATATATCATCACAGAGTGATCACTAATGTGATGACGATTTCCAAACATCAGTATCATAGTTATGTTCCAAGAGTTTCTAAATAGTCACCGTGCCACTAATTTGATGAGACTTACCTTAAAATGAGGAAATTTTTTTGCCTCTTCCATTTTTCAGAATAGCAATTTATACTTCCAAGTTTTAGCTCATGCTCATATATAGCAACTTAATTACATCATGGCCTGTTCAAATTCGTGACACGACTTAAAATTTGTATTAACTGCTACATTACCATCTCAAAAAACCCATGAAATGAAAGTAATTCAATAGTACACAGCACAGTACTACGTATACACTACTTGTCCATTTTGGAGGCCTACAAGGAAGGATACGAATGAAATGATGATCTGGTTCTGGTGTGTGTGAGATCTAGCTAGGGCAGGGTGTGGGTGCCCCATAAAAGTTGGGACAATTATATCGAAAATGCGAAGCAGAGGTGTGGGCATGGCTGTCTTCGTCACTTCCCATGAAAAGGGAACGATGTGCATATATACTTATGCGTGAAAAAAACACATGCAAAGTGCTGCCACATCTCGTGATCGCGGCGTGACTCCATTGATGCACCCTTCCACCTTCGCCTGACACACCACACATGCATCTCCATTCTCCACCACCATATATTACTGCATCTATGTGCCCTTAGCTAGCTTCTTTCATTCATTCTTTCCATGTGCGATGAATGCAGATCCTTGAAAAGGAAGGGATTGGAGGGCTCTCATAATGACTCTTGTGGCCCATGATACTTATATAGGCAAATTTTGAGTTCTTTATATAACTGCTAGTTAGACACACAGGTTTCTCATTGAGGTGCCTTCCAACTGTCTTGCGAAAGGGACCAAATAAGCAAACGCAACCCTCCCAGCAGACATAAACGTTTTAGCAACTTAGTGAAAATGATCGATGGCGACGACGATGTTCTGTATTTTGTACATGCATGCATGTTTGTTTTGTTTAGAGAAATCCGTTTCTCTATCAATAGCTGTCACCTACGTACTCACCTTTAATTGAACAGGTTAAGTAAGTATTTAGTGATCGAGTTGAAGTATAAGATGTGTTTAATATTTGTTTGATTGTTAAGTGGGTTGTAATATTTTCTGTTCATAATTAATCGTTTAATTAGTTCAGCTCGTGAATATATATATATGCTTGATAAGTCGGTAAAATTCTATCTGTGAGGCCTGGCCAACGAAGAAGTGATTATCTGGCGAGATAAGGCAGCTTATTTTTTACTAGAATATCTCGACTTAGCTGGTTAATGTTCCACCTTTGCAATACCTGATCGCTTATGGAAATAAGATCCAACCCACGTTTGGAAGCAGTCTCATCAGTCATCAAACATTCAAACCGTTTATTTCAGTTGAATTGGATTGGTGGGCAGTGAAGGGCCCAGTCTTGTTCGAACTGAATTAACACTAGCAGGCCTTCAAGAAGCAGGGCCCATGAAAAACTCGGTTTTGGTTTATAGAATCGATCGCTTGGTAAGGCCCATGCGACATCGAGTAACCCAAGAATATTAAATGGGCCTGTTCTCCTGGAAGTCCAAAAAGAAGCCCAGATTAAAGTTGTTTCAACCCGAGGACCCGTTTCGGTAGTCTTTTGACTCTTTCGGTCTTTCCCGGTTTCCCCTATCAGGATTCTACAATTCCCCGCATTCAACGAAGACTTTTCATTACCGTTTTCTCGCCGGCTGCTTCTGGTTCGGTGGAAAAGACATGGCAGCTCAATCTCTAACTACCAATCTCCAGTCGGTCCACCAATCCAATCTCCAAAAATCCAAGCTCCAATCTCCAGTAATCCAGTCTCTCAAACCCTATACCCTAACGAACCCTTCATGGCTAGGCAATTTTCAGCCAATCGCCGGGATCTCTCTGCAATCCTTAAACTCCAGAACCCGCCGCGGCTCTTCCCTCCAACCCGTTTGCGCTACCGTTTCCAGTCTCCCAACTGCGTAAATTCTCCGCATCCTCTCGTCATCTTTTGTCTCTTTCCTGCTGTACCAATTTCAGCGGGCTAACTCCTGATTTCAGGATTTTGCAGGAAGCCAGAGAGGTTTGCCTCGGGTGATAAAGTTCCCCAGTGAGTGATTGAATTTTGGATGATTTTTCCTTTTCTTTGTTTCAATTTTGTTTCTTTCAGTTGGTTTTGATGTGGATCTCTTATAGGTGGTCATGGAGGGCGATAAAGGCGTTTGCTTTGGCTGCATTGGAGGCAAGGAAGCTGAAATGCCCTAAAACTGGGACTGAGGCTCTTTTAATGGGTGTCATGATCGAAGGTAACTCATTCCAGCACACTTACCGGTTTAATTTGACTGTCAACGGCTTGAATTGGATTGACAACTTCAAGAGAATGTTTCATCCTAATGCACTTTGACGATTGATTGTCTTGATGCTTAACTCATTGCAATGTGCTGCTTAACTGCGGAATAGCGTGTGCTGAATTTGGTTTGAGCTGTTGCTTTGCTGTGAAAATGTTAATCTGTTCTTGTTTCAAGTACAGGAACCAGTGTCGCTGCGAAGTATTTGTGGGGAAATGGTATTACGCTCTTCAAAGTGCGTGATGAGATCACGAAGTTGCGTGGGAAGCCTGACTTCTATTACTTCCCTCCCGAACAACCTCCAGTGACTGAAGATGCTCAAAGAGCACTTGATTGGGCCGTTGACCATAAAATAAAATCTGGTACGTTATGATGATGTTGATTATGTTCTCCATTGTTGTCTGGGTTTTCTCTTTGTAGGTTGTTCATGCGAGACTGCGAGTATAACTTACGTCTGTAACAAGTCAAAAGAATTTTATGAATGGCTATCTGCTTAAGGGGAAACAAGCTTTTTTGGAAAGATTAGAATAATGGTCGGCTCGTAAAGTTCCTTATTAGTACATGTATGACTATTGATATGATGCTCATCAGGTATCAACTATGCAACATGACTCTGTTAGTTCCCAAGTGGATTTCAATTAAGGTTGCTGATTTCCAGTTGAGTTCAGTTAACCCTACATGTTGAGTTCCGGTCATGCTTCTTTCTATGACATGCAATGTCAGGTATTATGTGGACCATACACTTTTTCTAAGAAAGCAGTTATTATAGGGATCCCAGAGCAGGAGCTCATGCTCATCCTTCAGATGAGCTGTTTGTTGGTCTCTTCTTGGGACGATTTGAGAGATGAGACTATGGCAGTTAGAAAAAGATTTTCCAGTGTCCTTTGCTTTGGAGATTACTGTTACATTTGAAATCTGCTTGTATAGGGTGTTTCTCTTGAGTTGTGCTTGTTATAAATGATTTTTCTCAGTTAGTAATTTCCTGGGAAAATGTCTCAGCTGTTCCCTTTTATGAGTTCGGTCTGCCATGAGGATATATTACGTAATTCAGCCAGTGGAATTTTGTAAATGAGCAGAAGTAGAATGCTAATCTGTGTAATGGGCTCTGAATGTACAGGCATCAGTGGGGAAATAACAACGAGTGATGTGCTTCTCGGCATTTGGTCAGAAACTGATTCCCCGGGCCACAAGATCTTGGCTACACTGGGTTTTGATGACGAGAAAGCGAAAGAGCTGGATTCTAAAAGTGCTGGACCTGGGTTATTAGAGGGATGACAGCAAAATTTATCATCCTGATTATTGTTGTTGCTCTTCATAATCAGGAATGCAACAGCTCATGTATCATAACTTATTGCTCATGATAGAATTCATAAACAGCATGCAATTCTTGCTCACTAGGAAGAAACAAGTTGAAGCACAATTTCATTGTTCTTTATCTCATGAATGTTGTAACATCCCAATAAATGATGGATCTCACTTTCCTGACAGGACTACTAGTATTTGGAAGAGTCTAAACTAGATTGCCTTTCTCTCATGCTTGAACTGTCTGCTGTCTCATCTCACGGCTTTCGCCTTCTTCCCCTGTCTCCCTCGACTTGCAGGCGAGCTGTTGTGCCTTCACAACTTCAGTTCCCCAATCAAGCCTACCAATGAAGATCAGCAACAACATCAAGCAGGCAGTCAACCCAGCCAAGAACCCTAGCAACAGCCCACTTAGCCCAAATCCTGCTTTGAAAGCCAAAAACACCCCAAGAGGCAGAGCCACAAGATAGAACCCACCAACATTTGCATACATCGCCAACCAAGGCCTAGCTGTTCCTCTCACAATGCCTCCACAAGCAGCCAAAGGGAAATTGACAATCTCCAAAACAGCCATAACCAACATGGTCTTCTTCACACCTCTTACGATCTCTTCATCACTACTAAACAAAGCACCCCACTTCCCTCGAGCTGCTACCATTACCAAGCTCCCCACTAGCCCGAAAGCCACGCCTAAACCCATTGAGACAAATGCTGATCTTGAAGCAGCAGAGGGCCTCTCTGCTCCAAGCTCATTCGAGACTCGACATGATGCAGAAGTTGCTACAGATAGCATCACAGAGAAGAGCAGGTAATCGAAGTTCATGACGATTGCTAACACACCTACTGCCTGTTTTGCATTTGCTAGGTGGCCAGTAAGCAGGACTAGAATCTCCCAGCACCACCATTCCAGGCATGCGCTGAGGCAGCACGGTCCGCTTAGCTTCAGCAATCTAAGCCAGTCACCAAGATCCTGATGAAGCCAACCCCCTTCCTTCCACTTCCCTCCCTTTCGATTCTCGCTCACCCACACGTATAACGCGAGCAAGGTCACAACCAGAAGATCAGTAATCCAAGTTGCCATGGAGACTCCTTTCATTCCCATGGTCCTGGAGAGCAGGATGTTGATTGGAATGTGGAACGCGAGGGCTAAGCCCGAGGTGAGCATGATGGGGATCGTGACGCATTGTGAGCTCAAGTAGGTTTTGAGAGGGCAGAGGAAAGACATGATCAACAAGTCAGGGAGAAGATAGAACAGATAATGTTTGGCAACGAGAGAGATGTCTTCCTGCTGCCCAAAATGGATGAGGATCTTGTCGACGTTAAGCCACAAGAAAGTTATGGGGATTGTGGTAACCAACAACAAGAGGATTGCCATGATTAGTGTCTTCTGAAGGAGCTTGAAATTCCTGGCTCCATTAGCCTGACCACAGATTGGCTCCATGGCACCACAGAGACCATTTAGGACTGAGAACCCTGTGACGTTGCCAAATGTTAGGCCGAGTGCCCCGCCTGCTAGCTGAAGCTCTCCAAGCCTGCCGAGGAATGCTGTTGTGATGGCGTTTTTGGCAAACCAAGTTAGGTTCATGGCTAGCAAAGGGAGGATTATTGGCCTTTGTGTCTTGAGCTCCCAGATAACACTGCCCACAAAGTCTGCTGGCCATTCTGAACTGGGAATTGGAATTGGGGAAGAAGTTGGAGAGGTTGTGGGAACTGGGTTCTCTTCAGAATTCTTTGCAGAAGACATAATGGCTCAAAAGATGGATACTTTGGGTCTATTGCTCTCTATAACTGCCAAATATATAATCTTTTCTTGATGAATGGATTAGTGAGTGGAGGGATTAATCTTGGTTCATAAATGGTAAAAAGATTAGAAATGTGTGCATGGGTTTCGTGAAGCAGCTGGTTTGTTGCAAAAGGAGGAAATTGTGGCTTTTGGGTAATCAGGTAATTGATGGGGGGAGAGCTGGTGATAATTCTGCAACTTATAGTGGGTGGTGACATGGGAACGGCCAAAAATGTTGAGAACCAATATCAGGCTTTTGCAGATTTCTTTCCTCTTTTCTGGAAAAGTTTTCAGATTTCTTTCCTTAAGACGGCAATTGGACAATAATTGCAGTTGGGTAGTTATGTATGAAGTAAAATACTGTTGTGAAATGAGTTAAGTTCAGGGGCTTCCGGATTAAATACTTTTGGCGTGAATAGATGAAAAGATTGAGTTCAATTCCGAGGTCTCTAAATTAAATACAATTGGCGTGAACGGATGAACGTTTCATCTTTCGTATCAACTTATTACACATAAAAAAATACAGCGAGACATTAGAAGAAAGAACCATAAGCTAAGAATGATCACCTTTTAGTGAGTGCTTTTTTCATGCGAAGTGAGTTTGAGTACACTTATTCTGTCTGGTGGTTTCTTATCTCCCTCCTCATTGTAGAATTATTCCTTCCATTCTTTTATCTTTCACTTGCCTATGTACACAACCAAAAAAGCAAAATTTCTATGCCCTTTTTATATTTTTTTCACCATTATGAAATGATTTTAATTCTATGCCAATGTGCATAATATGTACATTTAGATATTCCATTTTTGGAATATCCATTAGTTTGAGATCCATATCTGTCTCCCCATGATCAATTTAACTTTATCACATACCTTCACCATGCATACAAGTAGAGCTAGCTAATTAAATGGCATATATGCCCATGTACCTAACTCACTTGCTTAGCTTCACTAGGGATTAAGATTCATGTGTAAGAACTGATTCATTCAGGTGCTCTTTAAAAGATACTTTAGTAATCTCTAACTTATAGTCTATGGAAATTTTTCTTTCTAATGTGTGAGGAAAGGATAAAGTTTTGAACATAATAATATTTTTTTTTGAACGGAAACATAATAAGTTTCATTCATGATCAACTTAGCTTTTCCATATTGATAGACATAGTCTATTGTTTATATATGTTGGTCAAGGAAAATTCTAAACTCTTAATAATTAATGAAAAAACCATATATCATTATTGACAACTCATGATGTCTTAGCTTTTCCATCTCGATATTAGTTGTTATAAAAAAAATTCAATATTAGTTAGTTTTTTTTTTTTAATTCTCAAGGGTGAATTTTGTATGGTGATCCTTTAACTTATGAATGTTGTTAATTGAATGCAGTTGGCCTTGATGTCATACATGATTGTCATTGATTTTCTCCTGTTTTTATTTCTAGACATACTATCAACGAAAATTGTTACTCCTCGTTCTGTTAACCGAATTATCCATACGCTAGTACAATATTGCTACATAATTATTTTTATAAGTTTCCAGTTTAAATTAATGAAATTTTCATGTAATTTTCAGTAGTGAAAAATCTTATGTAACTTGCATGGCCCCAACCGCTAACGATACTCTTTTTTTTTTTCTTCATTTTTCTTCATAATCAAGCATACTTTTCATTTGAACTCGGGCCAACAAAGAATAGGAGAATAAGAAGAATGAAGGGGCAAAAAATGGAGACTTGCTTGGTTATACCAAACACCTCTCCCTTTGCTCTTTTGTATTTTTATTATGTGATGACCACTTTGGTTTCCACTACTTGTTCCCTATTCGCCCAATTCATAAAGCGGGGAAGTGTTTGATTTTTATAAGCCTTTTTTGCATTTATGCTATGAGGCTGGCCTCATATGCTCCCCCTTTCATGATTGAATGTTTCTCTCTTATTCGTCAAATAATTTTTATACATCAAAATGCTTTGAGCCTAATCCGATTTTCATGTACAAAAGTTGTATACGGCAAGAAGCCATTAACATTGATATTATAGTTGGCTGCCCCCACATAATACATGCAAATTCCCGGCTAATGGTTACTTGTGTGTCGATCCTTCTTTCCTTCTCCGGAGGGTTGATTTGCCTTCTCATCCAGTTTGAGATTGACCAGATGGGCTTTTGCTTTGTTTATTCGGAGTTCTTTCCGTCTAGTCTGGTTTGCTTCTTTGTGTTCACTCGCGGAGCCATTTCCTCGCTTGATTTGCACAATCAAGTGTAAATTCCTCACTGGGTCGTACTATTCTTAGAACTTGAGAGAGTAGATTCTGGGTCATTTCACAGGAGAGAGATAGAAGAAACTAAGTGGGCCTTGTGTTCTTGTTCCATAGCACAAGATGAAGAATCAATATGGAACGAATCATCAAAATATTAGAATATAAATCATGACAGTAGCAGAAGTAGACACCAAAAGGAAATTCCAAGGATCAAGGGCACTCGGGGCTGGCAACTAACCCCTCCGAGGAGCGTCGGGCAATTAAAGAATGCAACTCCTGGGCTGTAGGGGCAATGACTCAAACTAAACTAAAGGGTAGGCTCGTCAACAAAGAAGCAGATGCAGACAGGAATGTAGGCTTTTCAAGTGAGCAACTCGTTACTTCCTTGGTTGTTAGCTTTGCCTTTCACTTTGGAGACAAAAACCGAATGTCCTAATGTGTCGGAGGTCCATATTTGGCATAGCATTTCCTCAACCCGGTAATCCGATTCAATGAGAAGTTGAAAGATCTATAATGAAGAGCGGAGACCAGAGTAAATGTCAATCCAAAGGCAATTACGGAATATATGGGTTTCGACCTATCTTTGAAAGAGAGTAAACCCCGTAATACTGGCTGCTGCATCATTACCAGACTCTTGACTTGCAGGATCGGGCATAACCAAGAAGAATAGTGCGTGCGGGCCTAGCTTCGAGTGTTGTCGGCACCGTAGTTGGCATTCAACCTCGGGGTTCGAAAGACCTTGTTAGGCACCTTTATTTAAAGGAAGGGTTGAAGCCGGATCGAGATGCTTCACACTCACACAGTAATGGATAGTACAATAAGATAGTCAGCTGCCCAATCTCGATCGTAGATTGGAAACCTTGGAAAAGGCGGATAGCGAGACGAGATAAGGCTTTTCTTCCTTAGATCACACCCTTTTTTTTTCTACGGATCCTGCATTTCGCTAAAGGTTGAAGGGAGATAGTGCATCAAGCTGTTTGCAAGGGGCAACTTGATCCTCTTCCCCAGGGATCCCAAATAAGGGAACATGCGGGGATCAGCTGACTCCAACTATCGTCCATGTACGATCCATACTAGATATGACCAACTGCCCATCCTACCTCCTTTACGTTCTTCACAACCCATCCCTTTTTAAGAGAGTGGCACAAGCAAAAAGATCAAAAGGTAGAGTGCGAGGAGTGTTAGGAAGCACTTTCCCCAGGCAAAGAACCACAACCCCGGTCGGGTGAATGGAGGACCGACCGACCCGGGTTTTCATGAGCATTGGCGGGTCCTTGAGTGCTTGTCAAGGACGCTAGTGCATACCCCTCCATCGGCAGGGGGGCAGGAGGCGACCATCTCGAGGCACATCACGCCCTACAGGCAAGACCGGCGAGACCCGGGAGGGCAAACCGATTGGGAGTCAGAGGATCCATAGTACCTGGATCCCTACGGACTTTATATTCATCATTTTGAATCTGACAATTCAGTGCAGAACTATACCGTTGCCTTACACAATCTTGTTGCTATGAAATGGTAGTACCATTAGGTAGAGGAGAGGAACCCTATTTCATTTAGACTAAGGTCTATGGCAACTCAGTCTTCTTTCTACCTTCTTCACTGGGATAGGGAACTTTTCTAGGGACAGAAATAGAGTATGTGCAACAAGTGCTACTGCCCCTTTCTTCCTGGACGGGGGTAATGCCCCTCTTAGATTGCTTATCCTACCCGTATGGCCCGGGACATCAAGTCCTCTTGCCCCCTTATCTTTATCTTTAGCTAGCTTATACACTGAAAAGTTTCTTACTTGTCTTGAGGGGGGGGGGGGGGGGGGTTGAGCTTTCACCTGGCCATTGTTGTCTCTCGGCGCAGCAGGTCTATTTATTCGGCAATTGGATATTTCGTTTGCCTTCCTCCACAGTGAGCTCAAGGAAATTGTCTTCATGGTTCAACCCTTCGGCCGAGTATATTGCATAACCACTCCCTCCCACAGACCTTGGTGAAGAGGAATCTGGGTCACCCAGGGTATATATCATTTTTCCTTGACTTTTTTCGTGTCAACAAACAATTCGAAATGCCTCGACTTTTTTAGAATTAGTTGGTCTCAATAATTCAAGTTGTTGAGAGATATTCAATAGTGAATCTTATATCACATACGAAATTGCTCTCTCAAACAAAAGTCATTCAAAATCAGATGGGGTTTGAAACTTGCACAAGTCAGAAATACCATGTGCTTAACAAATATGGTCACCAAGATTTGAAAATAAGGCTACTCGGTCCAAAAAAACACTCTCATACTATGTCAAAATTAGTTGATCACAATAACTCAAATTGATATAATAAATTTAATAATAAATCTTACACCACATACTAAACCACACCTACGAAATGAGTGTCTCAAAGAATGTTCTTGTTTTTTTCATGTGTAAAAGATGATTATACTCACGATCAGGAGTTAGATTGGGGTACTGTTTTGAAGAGAAAAATTATTTTCTTTATGAAACAAAAAATTATTTGTATTTCAAGCAGAGTATTCAATAGTCTACATGAAAAAAGGCAGGAGAATCCATTCCAATCTATCTACACATATCTTGGACAAAGAATATTGGAAGAAAGCACAACTTTAATTAATAGAACCACATACTACGCAAAATTATGATAGAGAAGGGATTAGTTAGCATACCCTTAAAGTAGAATGCATAGAATGTTATAGACATACATACCCCTAATTTATATTAAACAACATCCAACACTAATCGTCCTTCTAATCCAATCCTTAATCCTTTTTTTTTCACCCTAGTGGATTGGGGTATCTTTGCAATGGAATCCGAGGTGTACATCAGTTGGGGGCCCTAATTTTATTTTGTACCGAGTAGACTTACAAATTGAGAATAAATGGTAGCCACAAGTGTTAGCAACTAAAAATACCAGTTACCTAACTAGAAAAATACTGATAATTAGATTATGTCAAAATATTTATTTATATTTCTAATAAGAGTCGGATATGATCCTATTATCGCTGAATGTGAGTGTCAATTCACATTAAGAAGCGTGAATAATTTGCGTTCCTAGACAGTGACCACGATTAAATCTTATACATTTTCTTTAAACAAAAAGCTCATTGCTCATGAAAGTTGCACAAATTAGCATACTTTGTGCATTAAAATCAAACATTAAATAAAAAAAATTACTCAAATTTGAACACTAAATCGATTTGTCAAACCCAAAAACCGATATAATTTCAAAAATCAATTTACAGATAAACTAAAATGTAGACAAATTTGAAATTGAATCTTATATGTTTTAAACATCTTTATTTGAGTTGTGATAGATTCATCGCAAACACTTGTTGCCATTGTGGGTAATCATGGCAACCAAAGAAGGAGATTTGCCTGCAGTGGATTGGATGAAGCGATTCAAGCCCCATTCTCTCATTCTTCTACCACCCTAAATAAACAAATAATAGAGTTCCACAATGATTGAAATTCTTGGTCACAGCCAATGGACTATCCTTTTTAAGGCTGACTGAATGCTGTTAACTTTTGGCACCATAGAAAACTGATAATGACAACCATTATAAATCACCCACTAGACCAGATATCTTCTTTCTTTCTTATTATTGGAAATGGAAAGAAGCATTTTAATTGTCTATTTCTGTGGTTCATATGGTCTGATTTTTTTTTTAATTGGCCCCATAAGTCTACTAATTCAGTAAACTATTGGTATCAGTATCACAGTCCTTCCCCACTACCCTTCGTCTTTTGAGGAACACTCATACTAAACTTGTGGAGGTGAGATCGTTTTCCCTCCTACGAAAAGAAAATTCGGGAACCTGAAAGAATATTTAATATTAATAATTTGATAATATTTAACTATTAAAAGTAGCATAGTAAAACTGCTGAAATGTTATAATGAAGTTATTCTATTAACCTTTAAAATCAATTTGATCTAGTGGTAATATCACAAGTCTTGAATCTGGATGTCCGAGATTTGAATCTCTTAAATACTACGAAACCAGAAAAAATAAATACATATCAACCCTATTAAAATAAAATTGTGTATCACAAACACTGAAACCCACCAATTTTAGAATAAAGGCAAACGGTTTTGTTCATGCGGGTAAACATTTGACCAGAATTCAGAATGGGCTGATCGCAGGCCTGCATCCTCGTGAGTAAAGCCCATATTAGCAAGGATAGCATTGGTGCTGCTCCAAAACCAAATCACGCAGGCTAAGCATATTCTGGGCCTATTTAATAGTGACCCAA